CAAAATATGCCTATTTTTCAATTTTCGAGACGTTGCGACGGTCCTACGGACTGGCAAATAATTATGGCCCCTAATGCAGTCAGAAAATTATTTCGAACCAGACCAAAAACGTAATTTAGTTCTTTCCTAGGTAAAGTCTTTCTGTTGACAGAGTTTCAGGTAAAATTATTTTTGATGCAAAATTGACCGGGTGGAAATAAGAGAGACAGCCTCTTAAGGGCTGGCAAGGGTGCGGCTTATCAAACTGGACAGTTGCCACATTGCAGCAAATGAGGTGAAAGCAAGGAATACTACGAATATGATCTTACACAAAATCTATGTAACATTATGGGGACGTGGTCACTTGGTCTCATCAAGTAAAACAGTTATTCCTAATCCCAATCCCTGGTGTACAAACTCTAGGTTACATTGTGGGGACATGGTCAGCTCATTGGATTATGATAGTTTCTGTTCTATTCCTCAGCCTTTGTTATTCTGGTATTACATTATATCAACAATATGAAATCAATCTTGTGGGGACATGGTCAGCTCTTTGGAGTTTGACAGTTTGTGTGCTTTTCCTTAGGCTTTGTTATTCTGGTATTACATTCTATCAACAATGTGAAAAGAATCTTGGCAGGTAATGCAAATGCATTTTTAAAAAAAGCAAATCAATAACATGGCAAGCAAAATACATAGTACTGTAAATGTATTGCTCCCCTGTAATCCAGCTTACTCAAAACTGGCAAGTGTCCGGTTACCTAAAACAATTCCATAACTAAACATGTGGTGAAGAGTAAGAAAATGAATATGTATGAATTCGAATGAAAAGTCATTAGTCACTTACCAGTATATGTTTGAAACTCTATTATATAGATAATGTAAAAAGATCCCATGAGAGCACTAGTGTTGAAGAGTCCAAAAAACTGCATGCATCAAGAGGTAATGGGAATGAGAGAGATGCTGATAGAAGTGCATTTAATGAAGTGCCAGGATGAAGTGCCAGGATGAAAAGGCAACAGGTAATGGTAAGGCTGGTCACAATGCACAGTTACTGCATGTAGTGATGTAAGAAACCAGGTCATTTATTCACAAGAAGTGAAATTAGTTGGAATTGCTCTTTAAAGGCTAAAATTAATAACTTATTGTAAATATAATAATTAAGGGGCTGACAAGGGTATGGCTAGTCAAACTGGACAATTGCCAGATTACAGCAAATTAGGTGAAAGCAAGGAATACTACAGATAGGATCTGACACAAAATCAATGTAACATTACGGGGGACGTGGTCACTTCATTTCATGAAGTAAAACAGCTATTCCTAATCCCAATCCCTGGCGTACTTACACAGAATCTGGGTAACATTGTGGGGACATGATCAGCTCTTTGGAGTTTGACAGTTTGTGTTCTTTTCCTTAGGCTTTGTTATTCTGGTATTACATTTTATCAACAATGTGAAAACAATCTTGGCAGATAATGCAAATGCATTTTTGAAAAAACCAAATCAATAACATGGCAAGCAAAATACATAGTACTGTAAATGTATTGTACCCCTCTAATCCAGCTTACTCGAAACTGGCAAGTGTCTGGTTACCTAAAACAATTCCATAACTAAACATGTGGTGAAGATTAGGAAAACAAATATGTATGAATTAGAATGAAAAGTCATTAGTCAGTTACCAGTATGTGAACTTGAAACTCTATTATATAGATAATGTAAAAAGATCCCATGAGAGCACTAGTGTTGAAGAGTCCAAGAAACTGCATGCATCAAGAGGTGATGAGAATGAGAGAGATGCTGATAGAAGTGCATTTAATGAAGCTGGTAACTCGAGAAAAAAGAAAAAGTGCCAGGATGAAAAGGCAACAGGCAATGGTAAGGCTGGTCACAAAAGGCAGTTACTGCATGTACTGATATAACAAACCAGGTCATTTATTTACAAGAAGTGAAATTAGTTCGAATTGTTCTTAAAGGATAAAATTAATAATTTATTGTGAATATAATAATTAAGGGCTGACAAGGGTATGGCTAGTCACACTGGACAGTTGCCAGATTACAGCAAATTAAGTTAAAGCAAGGAATACTACAGATAGGATCTGACACAAAATCTATGTAACATTATGGGGACGTAGTCACTTGGTATCATCAAGTAAAACAGTTATTCCTAATCCCAATCCCTGGTGTACTTACACAGAATCTGGGTAACATTTTGGGGACATGGTCGTTTGGCTGTACACTTTGGATATGATAGTAAAATTTTGTTGTGTTCCAAATTCTTCTGAAACAAAATCTGGTTAACACTGTGGGAAAATCATCTGCTCTTGTATCAGAGTTGTGACAATTTCTTTTCCTTTGCAAATGTATTTTTGAAAAGCTAATCATATACACGGCCCTGTAAATTTATTGAACCTTTGTAATCTAGTTTATCAAACCTGGCAAGTGTGAGATTGTCTTAAACAATTCCACAACTAAACATGTGGTGAAGAGTAAGAAATAGAATATGTATTAATTAAAATGAAAAGTTATTAGTCACTTACCAGTATATGAACTTGAAACTTAATTGTTTAGATAATGTGAAAGGACCCCACAACAGCACTAGTGTTAAAGAGTCAAAGAAACTGTATGCATCTCAGACCAGTGCCAAAGTGTCAAGGCTGGAATATTTTTCTCAACATGTGCTGCACAAAATATACATTGGTTTACAGTCCACTATAAACCATAAATGTAGTGGGGTGAAAATATGTATTTGTAATCAATTTATTTATTTATTATTAATATATTTATTCAAATAGCTGAAATAATAATGCAGTTAATTGCCCACACACATGAGTACATTCTGTGGCCACCTCTAGAATTCTTTGCAAATGTATTATCTACATGTACATGTTCTTTGTTGCATCATTAGGGATACCAATACCCCTGGCATCATTGTATGGTCACCCAGCTGAGGTGAGATATTTATTTGCAAAGCTGTAATACTTATTTTCAGGCTTCAAGCATTTGAAAGGGTATGGGTTTCACCATAGCTTTATCCTCTCTTGGTTTCACTAATTGAAGTATATGAAGGGGTAGGCAAATCGGTCATTTCGATCTGTAAAATGACCTAAGAGGACTACCAGGTTCATTTCATGGCTGTCAAAAAGACATTTAAACTTTCTGGTTTAATGATTTGTTCGTTATATAAAAGACCATGAATTTACACGGCGGCAGACTCAGTTCAGGATTTTGCGCACTCTAAAGAGACTCTTTATAATTATTAACTGCTTTCTGTTTGTTCCTACATTTTTATGCTTGTTGTTGTTTTTTTATTTATTTATTTTTTTATTATTACAAGCCATTCAATACAAAAAAGGGGTATATACAGAAACTTAAATGTAACACGGGTGAAATAAATGTACTAAAAGGTCATCTTTCTTTTAATTGCTCTGTAACAGAATATATAGAAAAACTTTAAGTTGACTCCTCCTTATAGGTGCTTATAGGTATAGACACTTCTGTTTTAAGAAGAACAATATGTCACGACTGAGGTATAAGATTTTAACTTGCTTTCACTCTGTTTTTAGCACAGGGAAAAACAGTTTACCTTAAGACATAAGTGGACAGCGCTTCAAGCCGATTTCTTTAGCCACCTTCAAAACGAAGATGAAGAGTCTGGTGGACTGGGCGAGGAAGAAGATTACAGTGAAACGGACGAGACTGGTGGAAGTGGTACTAACAGCAGCAACAGCTTTCCTGAAAAAGAGAAAGGTGATGCGAATGAAGCATTTACCGGCAAAAAGGTGAAGAACGAAGGAAAGCGTGAGAAGCCAGAGCCGTACCCAGTACCAAATTGTAACGACGAAGAGTTTGGTGAACTAGGCGAGGAAGAAGATTACAGTGATACGGACGAGTCTTCTGAAACTGGTTCTGATGGTAACAAGAGCTGGCCTGAAAAAGGGGAAAGTGATGCAAATGAAGAATGTAACGAAAAGAACATTAAGAACGAAGGAAAGCGTGAGAAGAAGCCGTGCCCAGTACCAAATTGTAACGCCAATGTTGTTCACCTCCCAAAGCACCTCCACAATGTCCACAAGTGGCATGCAAAATATGCTAGAACGGCTCTATCAAGATTCAAGCTCCGCAAGAAGTATGAATTTGCCAGTCAAGAAGCAGCTTCTGCTGGAAATCACAGCCGAAAAAAAAGTGAGGAAAAGAAAACCAAGCCGAAGCCCAATCGAAAGAGAAAAATATGTCCTTTACCTGGGTGTATGGTAATTACAGAGAGATTGCCTCAACACCTTCAAAGAACACATAAACTAAAAAGAGAAGATCCGAAGTATAAAAAGTATCTTTCCCTCGCAAAGGTTGTTTCTACGGACAAACCTCATGTTTTTATGCATATGAAAGAAGAAAGGGGGCGGATGCAAAGGCTCACTCCAGAGTTCGTAGTGAGAGGTGAAGAGCTCGAAGATACTGGCGACAATTCAGAAGACGGGTTCCTCTTCAATGTCCAAAATTATGACTGTGATGAGAAACAAGACGTATTTGACTTATCGCCACCAGAAAACGAGTTGGCAGAGATGACAGAGAGCACAGAGATGGCAAACTCCGTAGCCAGAAACAACTCAGAGACTGAAACCAAAGTCCTGAACCAATTTTGTAACTGGATGTTGTCTCCTGATGGGGACCAAAAGGACCAAAAAACCGCAACGCAGCATGTCGCTCAAGCGAAAAGAATTATCTGAACATTGAGTAAGGGACTTGAATGTTTACTCCACAAGAAAGAGATCAGAGATGTTTTTCTACCCAATGCAAAGGAAAAATAACATCCTGCTACGATTAAGTCGTATTTGACGAGTCTTCAACACTTCTGTTCCTTTTTATTGGAAGACAACCCAAGTGACGTCAACTTTGAGAAAGATAACATCATTATCCTGCGTGACAAGCTAAAAAAATGGTCAGCGTCGTACAAACGGGATACCACAAAATGTAGATGGGATAGACACGAGGAGGATGTGAGTGCCTTGATAACTCCAGAAACGGTGAAGGCATTTGAGACGAGCCAGGCTACACGAGATGCCGTTGTTATTCTAGGAAAACTGTCTGGAAAACACAATATGGAAATTACACAGGCTAGGTACACACTTGTTAGAGACTACCTCATAGCTCAGATTATGATTGACAATGCAAACAAGTCAGGGGTAGTTGCTTTTATGACCGTGCAGGAATTTCGGCGCGCTAAGATGGAAGATGACCGATATGTTGTGAAAGTTCTTGAGCATAAAACAGTAGATACTCACGGCCCTGCTCAAGTAGTCCTGACGGTGCATTTATACAACTGCCTTGATATTTTTCTGAAGGAAATACGCTCCAAGCTTCCTGGTGCGCAAATGGAAGGAAAGCAGCCATTGTTCCTTTCATGGGCGGGGAACAAATTACAGTCAAGCCAGATCACCTCTGCGATTGGATCTATATTTAAGAAAGC